GCTCGGAGATGAGCCCGCTAATCTACCCTACAGATTGCTTCCCACAAAGGAATCGGATGTATCAGAACCAGGATCAACGAGGTCTTCCGAGGGTTTTCTGTGGCAGGAGAAGAAATCGTCAAGACGGTAGAGATATGGGTTCCATTTCACCAAGCAGGGATGTGGCAAAATGGCACTTTCCTGGCATGGAATGGTTCTCGGCCTTTTGGTACTGGCGAACTGCGACGTCAAAGAGCGGATCACAAGGGACTCCTGGACGTTTGGCCGTACGGTGGGTTGATTAATCCCTATAAGGGTCCAGAATGTCCTCAGATCGACCATTCTCAGCAGGTCCCGGACCCTTTGGGACAAGTCCCGGCTCGAAATGCTCCGAACGGTTCGAAACGCCCCGGTATCGCTCGGTCTTTTCAAATGGTGAGAAAGGCCCCAGAGCCCGAACAGTGGAGCGGTGGGTGGGAGCAAATCGGACACCCAGCCTGGGGGGGGGAACAGCGTCACTTCAAAACGCCCAGTTCTGGGTTGCGCCTGCCTGGCTTCAAGAAGTTCACATACTGCACCTTGGCCCCACGTCCGATGGGAGGCGCTTCAGGTGACAAGACGTCAGAGCCTTGTCTTTTCAGTCTCGCAAAAGGAACCAAAGGGCAATGGCCTCCAACCTACAAGCGATGGCCTCCAACCTCGTTTAAGGAAACACATGTGTGGCATGATGAAGATCTCTCGACGAAGATCGAGTGTTGTTGCAATGGAGAATCTTTGAATAGGGCAGGGAGGAGTCCTCCTGCGGTTTGCACCAGTCCCATATCGCAGTAACTAAATCTTATAGTTGGTATTACGCTCTTACGAGCTTCTTCTCAAGTGTATATACACATGTGTGTCCCCATGAGTCTTTAAAGCGTTTATAACATATATATATATAACTATATGTTTCTGCAGTCTCATGATTCATACCTCAAAGGCCACGAAGCACGTCTCAAAGTTCCAGGCTTCAAGGGCGAAGCCTCGGCTTCAAGGGCGTCACGTAGGTTCTTCCCATTCGACCACTCACTCCTCATCCGACCCGCCGTCCCACCGGCGTTGTCTTCCGCTCCTCTCGCGCTCAGTGCGGGCGATCCGCCGGCCTCATGGCACCGGGGTGCGGCGATTGGAAGAGCTTGAGGAGCCGACCGATGGCAAGTGGGATCCGGAGAACCATCCCAGCATCTTGGGCGAACAAGAAGACGCAGAAACAGTTGCAGATGTTGGCAGCAGATGTTGGCAGCAGATGTTGGCAGCAGATGTTCCATGATGGTCCTGAAACTTGATGTTGATGATGACTGGACACATGTTGGCCATCGAGAATCTCACCAAAAGATTCTCCTCTCCAATAATTGTTGGCGAACCTCTCTGTTTTGAATCGGCTCGCCTCTCTCTCTCTCTGTTTCTCTGTCTGTCTGTCTGTCTGTCCTCCCTCTCTCTCTCTCTATACTTTCCCTCGCGTGTAATTGTTGTCGATGTCCTTTGAGTTCTTTTAATGCATGCTGCATGTTGGAATTGCCTGTAGCAGACTTGACAGGATTCCGTGAGGGATGCACAGTGTTTGTCAAAGGAAACGGTGCTTGTTCGAGCAGTGTATCTTTTGCTTGACAGATGATGCTTTCCTGGGACTGGTCTTGTCTTTTGATCTATGACATCTGGGAACACATGAGCGAAATGTATATTTACATCGATCATCATCGATCTCTTTTGACTTGTGGTGGGCATGTTTGCCTTTTGTGCCTTCCTCTCGCCTGAAAACTGCTTGACAACATGCCGTGTTCGAGGCATGAAGAACCTTCGCAAGGCCATGCGTGAGCTACAGGATATGAAGAAGAACATCACCATGGGAGCCACTGACTCTTAGCAGTATACAGAGTTCACTTTTGGGTGGGTGCAAGTCACTACCGGCAGTATCTACAGTTTGACTCCTCTTCCGGGTGGCCAGAATTTTTTTCGAGATGTGAGGCAGACTCCTCTTCAGCATTCTTCAGCCTTTCACTGATTTGATTTGTTTCTTATAAGCGTTTCTATCTGTTTGGGGACCACTCTAGCTTGAATCAGAAAGGATTCCTGGTCCTTTAAACATGTTGTGTGGATCTATCTTCTTGGCCAACATGGTGCGGGGAGATTGTTGTGGCAATTCAGCTATGCTGGTGTTCAACGTCCAACCAGGGTAATTCCGTTAGAGTTTCGCGTTTGACGTTTTTCCAAAACGGCCCGACTATCATCAAGACATTAGTAGCAATACCTGGAGTGACAGTGTCATGGTGTTCCGTTGGATTCAGCTATGGTTGACAGAATCCAGTTCCCCACTCTTGCATTTGCAGCAGAAGACAGCAATGGTGCATAAATTCTATCCTATACTACACGCACCAGTTATCACTGAGTTAGGCATAAGTGTAAGGCAAAGCCAGCTCTTAAGAGCTCTAAGTGTACCTTCGCCCTCCAACATGATGCACTGCGTTTGGCTGAAAGGCAGCCAACAAACCGAAAGCGGCGCTATTTGGGAACTTGTTGGTCTACAAAACGAGGGCTTAGCACACCGCAATGGAGTTCGGGGTGCTGGGAGCCGGAGTGTTGGGTTGGGAGCCAAGTTTCAGCGAGCCTAACAGGCCAAAAAGGAAAGAACAGATCGGAGGCTTCTACCAGGGCACCCCAAGATGAAAACTCCTGGGTTTTGGCACTTCTATATATATATATATATCATTAGGGCCTTTCTCCTGAGTGCTGACAGACCCCACATGGCCTTCTTCGCCGACTCGGTCGAAATGGACCGCCATGTTCCGCCGATCGACTCGTGTGATCGACCGACTCTTCGACTGTCGAAGTGCCGAGGATATGGAGGGAGGAACCAAGGCCAATCTGAAGGTCTCTTGGCAGAAGGACAACCAACGTGTTGTAAACGTAGACATCTCCTTCCATCATTTTCGGGAATTGATGGGCTGTCGAAAATCATGCTGGAGAGGCAAGGAGGCATCCTTCGGGAGCATCGGGGTGGTTAGCGAGTCCTTTTCGTCGAGGAACGTTGAAGCGTTCTGCTCCGGGTGTTTGCTGGATGTGAGCTCCGGAACCGCCCGGTCGGGCGGGATCCGCACCGCTCGGAAGCACATCACCGGTTTTCGTGTTTCGTGCGCAACGTGCAGCTGTTGGGTCTTCGGAACATGGTCTTCCGAACGAAAGGGGCCATGCCTTCCATTCCACCCACTTCCTGTGAGTGAGTCGGAGTGTATCCAGCTTCTTCCTCATGAATGAGGGGGAGCGAAAGTTGGAGCTACAGGGAGTTCCGCGGTTCATGTCCGAGCGCGGTTGAGTTCCGGGTTTTCGGGGATGAACGGAGATGGTTCTTAGACTGTCCTGCATGGTCCATCGTAAGTTTGGATTCACGGTCCTTAACGGAGTTGTCTCAACAAAAAGATACAAGCCCATCCAATGCCATACAAGCCCTATTGTATAAAATACTAAGCCCATATAAACACATGCTCCCAGAGATCTCGATTGTCCAGATGGAAGCCCGTCGAAGCGAAGCAAGTGGCTAGCAAGTGGGTCACCAAAAAAGGGGTCTCAGACCATGTGAGAGTGGGATGCAAAAGGATCCAACTATTCGTGGGTTCACCCAGTGGGGAAGTGACCACCATGACCACCAAAGGAACAGAAAAGACGTCCTAGTCGTCACAGTGTGGGCCCCAGCCACTGTTGGTTGACAATGGTACATGCAGATGGCATGGCGACACTGATATCGATCACCAGTTGCCGGCCGCGAGGGTCACTGTCAGGAGCGATTGCACTTGATCGAACCAGCCTTGCAAGCCTATGACAGTAAGTGGTCCATCGAGAACTTGGATACGTGCACCAAGTGAGCAGCATCTATAAAATGTCAGGAGCTCGTGGTCAAAATGGCAACGAGTGAAGTAGGTAGAAAGATACCGGACGTCTCAGTGGCAGTGCTTGGATCAACATGATGGCTGCTTTGGGGGGCCATGTTGAAGATGGGAAGAATTGTCCAAGGTCACAGTACCCAAACACTCCATGTATGCCAGAGTTGCTCACTTTGCGTTGGTTGGACAGGATATGTAAGAGGATTGATCTGTTTTTATCTTGGGGCGGCACATATTCCATTCCTATGGAGTGTTTGGAGTATGAAATGAAGAAGCGACAAGCTGCCAAGCCGACAATAGCTGCCAAGCTCATGCCCAAGCTGCCAAGTTCATGCAAAGGTTTCTTTAATTCAGAAGAAAAGAGACCTCTTTGGGGCAGCTACATAGCTGTCGAAAAAGAGGCTGCACGTGTACACCTTTTCAGCCAATGTGCAGACTGTCATCCTACCCCGTCGATGTTTTTTGTCTGTTCGAAATTGATGTTTCATGGGCTGTGGGCCGCTTCATTGGACAATTTCTTGTTTCATGGAATCATTGGTTCATATTTTGCAGAAATTTGCCCTGGCTGTGGCTCAAAATACCTAAACACAGCGGCAACAAGGGCAGCAAAAGTCGAGCCGAGCAGAAAGAGAACCATCGTTTACATCCAGTTATTGGTGGTGTCGATCCAGTCTGTAAGTGGAGGCAGTGTATGCATCGAAAGTCATTGATGTTTGATACATTTTGAGCCACCCAGAAGAATGAACGGGGGTAGGTTTTGTTCATGAACGCCGAGACCGCAGAGATTCTTGCGCTCCGAAGAGAGTGTAAAACGACCTGCGCTTCGCGTCGCGAAACGCGCGTGTCACGTGTCACTGGACTTGAAGGTCAGACCGGGTTTTGTCATGTCAGACTCAATCTGGCCCAGCAAGGTGGAGTGGACCCTGTTTGTAACGCTGGAACTGGCGAACTGGACTTCAGAATTCCGGTTCCAAGTTCCTTTTGGGAACCTTGAGTCTCCAATGACCAAAAACAAAAACGCAGAAAAAAAAGGTCTTTGGAGACTCAAGGAAGCTGCAAGGGTCGGTGAGTGTTTCTTCCCATGTTTTGCCACTCTTCACGCGGCCTGAGGATAAGTCTCTCTTGAGCGAACTGCACCTAGGCGAGCGAAGCAGCTCACCGGGGTGGGGTGGCGGTGAGCAAACAGGTAGGTAGTTTCCACCTACCCCGTCAGTGGATCACATTTCACCCTTTTTTTGTGGCTTTCCCCTATCAAGATGAACAATATGATCAATAAGATAAACCAGGAACCTTTCTAAGGGACACTGAAGGAAGGAGTCAGAACAGCCTAGCAGAACAGCTCGTAGCTAGTCAGCCAGGTCGCTAGGAAGCCTTGAGAAGAGCTCGGGAGAAGAGCTCAGGCTTCACGGTGAATTGACGCAACGCACGCAACGCGTTTTTGGGAGCTTCCTTGAAGTCCAAACGCATGACAATGATTGATTTGGATTTGATTTGGTTCCTAAACCTAATCTTTTTTTTTGGAGAAAACTGATCAGTGGTAGGTCCAAACCTGCTGTTGTTGTTGCTGTTGTCCAAACCCGCGGATCTTGTGCTTGGAGGGAGCAGACCTTTGTTTTTGTTGTTCGACTCGGACGTGAAACTACTTCAGATGGGACAGCGCGAAAGAACCAATGAACAAGACCAGTGCAAAGGAGCGGATTTTAACTGGCACAGCTGAGAACTTCCGCACATCGCAGCATTTGCCTCCAACGGCTGCGCAGACGCCGGCGCAGACGTGACGGACTTCGGGACTCCCGGACTCCGTCCATTCCAGACGTGGTCCCGTGTCTATTGTCCGCCATAGATCATATCAATTGTTGTTGTTGCTGTGGTTGTTGTTCTTGCTCTTAGTTTTTGCTGTTTTGCTGTTGTTGCTCTTGTGTTCGTTCTTGTTATTGCCCTCGTTCTTGTTCTTGCTCTTGCGGTTGTTGCTGCTGTTGTCCGTGCGTTTTGTTTTGCTTGTTTGTTTCTTTGATTATTTATTTATTTGTTTGTTATTTTGTTTTTGAGTTTGTTTTGTTTTGTTTATGTGTTTGTTTATGTGTTGTTTTTGTTTGTTAGTCTTGTATATAGTTTGTTTATGTTTGTCTATGCTTGCTTATGCTTGCTTTGCTTTGCCTTGCTTTGCCTTGCTTTGCCTTGCTTTGCCTCTTTGCCTTGCCTTGCCTTGCCTTGCCTTGCCTTGCCTGCTTGCTTGCTTGCTTGTAGTATTAGTTTAGTAGCAGTAGTAGTAGGAGTAGTAGTAGTAGTACTTGAGAATGCCGTAGGTCGCCTGTGGGTTTTTGGCGTATTTTCAACATTGTGTGATGCTATCACATTCTGAAGATTTTCATTAGTTTCACTTCCTTCTGGTGGGGGTCGGGGGGGGCAATCAGAACCGTCGTCACGAAATTCCATCAGTTCCTTTTTGTTTGCGACCGCAGCATCGACAATGCCGCATGACCGAGAGCGAACACCGCCTCGTTTCAATGTGGCCGAATACGCTCCGGTGATGTGCGTCCAAGATTCGTGCCTCGAAGTTCTCAAAGCATCAAGGTTTCCACGGTTTTTGGAAATGTAAATGTCTTGTATGTTGTTGATGTTAATTATATATATAATATATATATATATTCCATGATGTGTCCGAACTGGAAGCAAAAACCATAGCGGCCGTTAGAAGCTGGTCAGAGAGTCTGATGAACTTTGGATATAGAGAGAACGCTTAAGCTTGTCAACAACGATTTAGTTAGGTCAGACAGTCACACCATCAAAGTCGTCGTTTCGTGCAATTTTTGCGGCCGAAATCGCGCAATTAGCCACAGTCAACCTGTGGCGTTCTGACCAAGTAGTAGGAGGAGGAGCAGCAGCAGTAGTAGTAGTAGTAGCACCAGCAGCAGTAGTAGGAAGTTACAACGCAGCGGCACTACTCATTCCACTCGTGCTACTAGACGACTTGCCACCACTTTTACAAGAACAACTACTACCACCACCAGTATTGGCTTGTTGCTTTGGAGGGGCAGGGGTCAAAGCACAACCGCAAGGCTGCAGTTTTTGTTTCTAAGAGGGTTATAGACAAAGTCAAAACATGTGTGTTGACAGGGCTGCAGTTTTTGTTTGTACCGTACCTTGTTGTTTGTTGTTTGCTTGCTTGCTTGGTTTGTTGTTATGTGTTTTGTTTTGTTTTGTTGTTGCTGCTTGGATTTTAAGTACCTAAGGATCCACTGCCATCTTCTCAGGTTCGGTGCGACTGGACCCTCCTGGCACCTACATAAGAATCGAGCACATATCGCCGCACCGCAGAGGGTGCGTGGCAGTCTATAGGGAATGGAATCTGTTGTTTTTGAAATCATCGGATACGACACACACAGATATATATATATATAATATATATACACATTTTATATCATCCCTATACCTACCTATCCCCCTATCATGTATTATATCATCCCGGTCCCTACCCTAGTGATATATGCCACCACTGCATATCTTCGTGTTCCCGAGACCCGGTCAGGAGGCCACCGCACGGTTCGGAGCCTGCGCCTCGAGTTTCGCGACGTCTGACGTTCCGACGTTCCAACGGTGAAAAGCCTCGAGTTTGTGCGGAACGGGGTGCAGGGTTGGGTTGGAAGATGGAGGATGGTGAGGGAGTTTGAAGTCCGAAGTGCGGGAAGTTAGGCAAAACTGGATCAAGAGGATGTGATTATTTAAAAATTGGGACCTTTAGGACAGGCCGGAAGTCGGTCTTGTGGCATGGAGCTTAGGGAAGATATTCAGTCCTAATGTGGTCGGAGAAGGCATGACTGACATCATTTTTTGATTTTTTTACACGCAAAGGACCACGCGAAAAACCTTGAACCACAGATCGACGTTTACCTGCAAACGATTTGCAATCTATGCGCAAACCACCATAAAACATTTTTTTTCAAACGGCCTTGAACAGTTTTCCGGTCATTGCGATTAAATTAATTATCTGGAACCACTTATTGTGTGAGAGTTGCCACTATTTAAATGGCTGAACAAAAAAGATTTTGCTACGGGTGGGCCTGCCATACTCTTTTTGATTTGACCATGTCTTTGGGTCATTACGGATTTGGACAACACTGAACGTTACCTGTTTATCGCGGAAAGACCAGTATCCCTATAGAATCCTTGGGCAGAGGTCGCACCCGACACCTTCGCAGGGGTCTGGACCCAAACCCTATGCGGCCTATGTGCTTGAAGTTTTTTGTAAAGAGTTGCTTGTACTGTAGTTTACATATGTACAGTGATTGAACCGACTGTTACTTTTGGGGTATACCGGGTATACCAGTAATGACCTCCAACCTACGGCCTCCAACCTGCGACGTATGGCCTTTCGGGTCGGGAGCCGCGGCCCGGAGGCGGTGGGGAACACCGAGTTGCGTCCGGGACCCCAGCGATGTCGGTGGTTTTGGGGAGGAGGAAAGAGTTCAACCCGTGTTTCAAGCAGTGCTGTTCTGGATTCCACCCAGATATAGAATAATCGGGATAGGCTCAGGCTCTGAAAACAAAGAACTAGCCCTGCTTGCTTGCTGCTTCATGTAGCTGCAGCCTTCTTATCTTCTTATGAGGCAGTGACCGGTATGGTAGGTGTATAAACCTCCCTTGCCTGTCCATCGCGAAAATGATGCCTGCCAAGTAGGGTCAGGACTGATTGTTGAGTCCTCACTTTGTCAGGAACAAAGACTTCGCATACGAGATTTTCTAGATTTTACGACTGAGTTTCACACCCAGACACTCCATGGGACTGCCATATATGCCGCCCCATTGACCCCCCCAGTCAACCGCCCCTGGCCTGATCGGCAGTCATATGGCAGTCCCAGACTGGTCGTGTTTGGGACATAGCATTCACAAGTTGCATGGTCTCTGAGTGTCACGACACAAAGGGCTCCAAGCTTCACTTGGAAATTGGGATCCCTGAAACTCGGGCCTCACGGTCTTGAGCAAGTCGACTGCCTTTGGGTCTATCCGAGTCTACCTGGGCCCAGCGGATGATGGTTCAGTTGCAGGCCTTGTGCCAAAATAGTGATTTGCATGTGAAACCTGACAGGTGAGAACGGACAGACCCAATCTATGCCTTTCTGCTTTTGTCGGAGGTCCCGACCGCGGGCTTTCAAACCTTGCAGGCTGGGCACCGGCGGACCCTGGAGGGCGCACGGGAGAGGCGGCTTGTCGCCCCGTTGGAGACCGTCAGGGACGGCCGGTCACATGGGGGCCGGGTGGGACTTCAAGCATTCCAGGAGTCACAAGTACGGGATGGCAGTCTCCAAGTGAGTGGATGTTCTTACAAGTACGGGATGGCAGTCTCCAAGTGAGTGGATGTTCTGGGCACCCCGATTCCCTCCGTGGATCGCACCCCGACATGTGACTACTGGTTGAGTCGATTTGTTCATGGCAACCCGCAGGGGGTTCAATTGTCATTGGCTTTCCTCAATCGCCCGAGACCCGAAGACCAGACATTCGGTGCCACTTCTCACTGCATGAAGTGTGTGTTTGGCACAAATGGTCCCATTCAGACTTCAACCGCGCTAAAACCAAACATGGCCCACTGCACAGCTCACACTTCTCTCTAGCTCATCTTCCGTGCTTGTCGGCAGGCACGGCGAGGCCATGACAGCAGCATCTGCTGGAGGAGGTGGTGCTGTGCGCACAGCGTGCGCCGTGCTTCTGCAACATCTCCACTCATCGAGTGGAATCACACCATTCTCCTCTAGTACCAGATCCTCAGGTGGCTGTACTGTCTGCTGTTCTACACAATATCTTTGGCAAATGATATTTGAAAAGCAAATAGAACTGTACACGGCTGACAGGTGGATGACGTGTCTTTCAGGATGTTGATTCTAATGTTGTTGATTGTCTGAAGCTTGGACAGCGAATCAGTGAAAGTTGACCTGCGTTTGTTTCAGTTCCAGTTTGTTGGTTTCTACTCGTACCAGATATTACGGAAGACACCCGTGTTTTCCTCAATGTTCTTTCCACTGTAATGCCATGTTGCGGATCCTCAACTGGATGGGACCAGCTGAATGGCATCGTATGCAGAGTCTTTGCCGAATCCCATGGGAATCGTCCGACCAGCTTCAAGACCTGTTCCGCATTGCCAGCAGTTACATGGACAGCATCCATGGACAGCATCGGATATAGGAACGGGGATGGTCATGGACAGCAGGCTGAGAGGCTTGAGAAAAGCCCATCGGTAGCAAGGCGGCGCCTGCGGAACCGACTTGGACCATGGCACCTCATGCAAATGAGTCGACCTGTGAGTGAGTTCGTACCTGGGAGTCCATATGGTTTATTTTTTTGAGATCCACTTATATTGTTTCACTGAGTGTAAGTGCTGTTTCTTTGCACCCACCGCTCGAGTACTGACCCCTGTGGAGTGGGAGGCAGTTTGATCTCTGATGGTCATGTCGTGCGTTCAAGTATGGTGAAGGGATGTACAGAAGCCTGGGTTGTAGTGGAACACATGTTGAAAACATCCATGCAGTACATTCCATATATAGTTTAAAGGTGGAGGATGAGTGGAATATATGGATAGGCAACTACATCCAAGTGTCTTTTGACATGCTAAACTACCTGTTTCGACTCGACTACCCCATTCGTGACAAACGGACGGCATCGGACGAGGTTGACCTTCACACGGTGTCCTTAGTTGGCTTGTCCCTTATCTTAGTTGGCTTGTTGGATCATAGGACCATATGCAACATTGGACCGGCCAAAATGGCTATACACCACACTTTGCGGACTTGGACCAAAATAGCGCTTCAGACATATGATCCCCTGGCCCAATGAGTGTTATGTTCCTTCTTTTTCATGTTGACCTTTTTAGTATAAACCATTAAAAAACATTTGTTCTTTTCCATTTTTCATTGGACCTTTCGAACTTTATGTTTTTCCCTTTTCTGCGAGGTCTGCTCCAAAAAACACGGAGACCTCCACAGGGCGGGCCGGCATCGGCGGTTTGTGGCGTCCCTTCACCTTTTCGATCTCGCGAACAGGTGGCCTGATCTCGCGAACAGCCACGTGCTTCTCGCGCCGGGCAAAAGGGGTGGAACGAGTCTCGCCGGTTCGGGCCCATGCCCCTGCGCGGGGCGGCGTCAGGGCGGCAATGGACTCCCAGTGGTCGATCTGCCGCAGGACACTTGAAACCCCAATGAATTTTGGCCCACCAAAACCTAATAGCAATGGCCAAAAACAACCTAGAAGCGATGGCCTCCAAGCTACCCCAAAGAATGGCAAAGATACATGGAGTGTCTCACATAGATATTTGATGATATTTGCTGACTGGTTGAAGACTGATCTAGATAGGGTTCTACCTTTTCCGATGTCGAAGGTTGTTGTGTGCAAACTGTGGATGCTCCACACCCATACCCACACAAACCACCCAGAAAGACCCCCCTGGTCAACCACCCCTGGCCTATGGGCCGAAAGACACCACATCGACAACCGGCGAAGACGCTGTTCGCTGTGTCACGCGTCTCGTGCCTTCCCCGGCGAAGCACGTCCGTCCAGTCCGGTCGGAGGATGTGTGTGTCTGGACTGTGTGTCTGGACACGTCGGCCAGCGCCAATTGCTTATGAGCCGAGAGGGAGTACGTATTTCTGTGGCAAAACCTGATGTCTCATGGTGTTGAATTGCTGCCGTTGGCTCAGTGCCTGTTGTTTGTGAACCACTGCCAAGCAAGTGGCAGAAGGTGGACGTGAGTTCCTGGCAGGAAGTGCTTCCTAGAGGATTTATTAAGGTTAATGTTATATGATGTTATATGTTTATTGGATTGTTTGCTGCAGAAGAGCACCTTAGACAGGCGACCCTGCGACGCAGGTCGCAGCGATGTGAGGTGTTTTGGCTGGTGCTTCCGCAGTCTTTCGCACCAACCGCGCCATGACCTATCTGTTTCTTCTACTCCCTCTGTTGCGATACGTTCATGGGATCCGCTTGGAAGGCCGATGCGCCGGTCGAACGAAGAACGCGCGACCGAACGGGGAACGGTGATGCGGGACGGTCGCGCGTTCATTGGTTCGCCCTAGCCTTCAGTTCGACCAAAAAGCAAGGGTTGATTTTTTTGCGGTACTGAGTATACTGAGTAATTACTGTAATTGTATGGTTTATCAACTAACATCAGCTAAAAGCCTCAAACCGTGTTGGAATCCAAACGAAACGCATTGTTACTTGTTCCTGTCTTGATCGGGTCGATGGACATGCTGATCATGTGTCCGCCGTTTCCACCAGGAAACGAGTCGACGGTGGACCTCCGCGCGGGTGCTCAGAGACCGTTTGGGCTCGAACCTGTGAACCAAAACGACCAGTCAAACGTTCCTGGTTCTTCAAATGTGACCGAACTTGGGCTTGATGTGAGAGCAAACAGGCCTGTCAAAGGTCTGGATAGACTGGATGGCGCACAGAAAAGGTGAACGCTTCAGAGGTCAGTACGGTACTGGTTCGATCCCAAACGCCGACCCTCACAAGAGACATTGATTCGCTCCAAAAAGCCGGTCAAAAGCCTAGCGGCCTGAGGCTCCTGCTGAGCCTTTGGGAGATATGGCTTGATATGGCTTTGTCCGTTCTTGCCTGTAACAGGACCCGTAAACAATGAAACAATGATCAATACTTTTGAACAAGGCCTGCAACTGAACCATCATCATCCACTGTTACAGGTATTAGGATAGACCCAATGTATGGCTTATTTGAGATCCTTCAAACTTTATAACTGGCTGAGATTGGGGACATTTTTTTGGGCACCTTCATTTCGTTTCACTATTTGCATTTATGAAGTGCACAGGGCCCACCTGAGATTCTGAAGGTCCACCTGAGATCTGCAGGTCGCTGGTGTTTTTAGGCTGGCGAAGCCTTGGGGCTTCGTCTTCCGAACCCATTTCGCTTGGAACCGAACACTGCTGCGCTCAGGGCTTGGCAGCGCGCCGGGGGCCCCAACCGGACAGCGGTCCGCGGGGACGACACGCGGAGAAGTCCGAGCGGAAGACCGGAGACCGGACGAGCTCCGACGGGCAGAAAGGTCCGAGGGTCTGGATGTAGTAGGATCCCCTAGAAGTCCAAAGACTATTTTAGGCACCACCCAAGTAAAGGAAGTTCCTTTTCGGATCACCTAAAGACCGTTTTAAAAATAGTCTTGGACTCCCAGGGAGGATGTTTCATCATGTGTCGTACCCCTCGAAATGAAACCATGACCGTTTTCTTTTTCTCGTACCTGAAACGGAGAAAACACAGAACCCGAATGAGACATGACCCGAACTGAAAACAGGTATAACATGGTGTAACCATCTTGTACTCATTTTCTGAGGAACGAACTGAGACCCCAATGTAAACCATGAACAGGGGGGAGTCCCGGGGACCATTTCACGTAGACTTTGGGGGTGTCGTATGACCTGTAAGAGTCGGTAAAACTAAGAACATCACTGTTTTAGAGGTCTTTAACCATCATAATCTGCTAAAAAGGGAAATATCAAGACCAGCAGGTTCCATCCCATCCGGTACCGGGGGCCGTCTTCATGCGACGTGAGCGTCGCACCCAACTCCTTCCCACTCCGTTCGTCCGCTCCGCTGCTATCGCTGTGGTGCGAATCGGCCAATTCGACCGTGGTTCCTCGCGCCGCGCAGCTTTGCGGCCGAAGCCGAAGAAGCCATCGGCAGAAAGGCCCACAGACCCAGCTCTTGGGCCGACTGGATCATGCCAAACCTGTAACAGTGTCGAACGCATCACCTTAAAGGTATAGATCGGTGTTTGATCTCAAAAAGAGGTCGAACGCATCGGGGTCTCCCGGCAACTGATTCCAATCGGATCTCGGACCCGCCATCGCGCTGTTGAGGCCCGAAGAGCATCTTCAGGCAGGGACTGAACCCGGAAGCATGGCAGCGCAAACCATCGAAGCACCAGAAATAGATTCCGGAATCTTCCAGAAGTCACACCCTAGGGCTCCAACCATATCCTCAGAAGGTGGTTAGACCCCCCAAACCCACCCCAACCATCTTCTCAGAGGTGGTTGGAGCCCTGGGGACATGTCGGCGTGGTGTGGCTTGTCCCATCCACTGAGCGGATGTGACGTGGCAGGGCACGCCGACTACCTCCAAGTTCGGCACCCCATGCACTCGTTTGGAACTGCTGGTGTTTCTTGTTTTCCAAGGGTTGTCCCTGTACCATAGCAGTCGAACCACCATTGTTTTTATAGCCTTTACCGAACCACCATTGTTATACTAAGTTTAAACAATGGTCTTTGACTTCCATGGGTGTAGTTAGTTGAATGATGACCCGTGTTTCGGTCGCTGATGTTTGTGTTTGAAGTCTGATAGAGTAGCTGATCTTCCTTTGGCCGTGTGGACATCGCACCTGGTCGCATGGGGGCCACATCGCGGCAGGGGAATGGCACCAATGGCACTAAAGACGGCCTGAACTCAGTAGAGACTCTTGGCAGATCGTCGAGCTTTCAAACACCAAACGGCTTTGGTTCGGTTTGGTTCGAGAGAGTTCCCGCGTGGTTCCACGGTGCTACATCGGCCCTTTTCCCCGACCCCCTGGGGACAGACACAGGGGGGAGTTAGTGGATGGAGCTGACGTCGTTCGTTGGAGGGTCCCAGGTCACCGGGATCGGATGTAACCTGAGACAGGTGGAACTGAGGCGATTCTGGACGCAACGGATGGTTCTGGACCCCAAAGGGGATCCTTACATTACCTATTATGGAACTTGGATGAAAATGGAACATACCCCGAACCCAACGACAGGGTACGACTGGGGCCCTTGGGGCCATAGGGGCCCCTGCGAGGTACGAGCTCACTCACAGGCAGATCACCTGGCAGATCACCTGGCAGGTGGACTGAACTGTAGGAGCAAAATAGGACGGCCCACACACTCCCGCACCCTTTGGAGATGAATCCTTAGGTTTTGAGAGACCCTCAATGGGCTGTTGGTCCGCTTCTCAGGGCTCGAAGGGGGGGGCAAGTTGGAACCCCGAACTCTTCTCGTCAAAGGCTGTGAAAAGGTGAGTCAAACGAAAGGGTCGACCGTTCTGAACTACCCAAAAGCAACCCATGAGCTCACAGGCCTTTCCTGAACAAATCGGGATTTGTGGGTTTCACTCCACCCTAAGAATCCGGACCCTCAAACACAGAGGGTTTCAAGGGTCCTGACCTGTGCTATGGAGGGCCCATACGGATTCTAGACCCCAGAGGGTTCGAGTGTTTGGCCCCCTACTGAATGAAGGGTTTGGGCGTTGGAGCATGTTAGAGCTCTGTTTGCAAGGAACCTCTTGCTGGGCGCCATGGGCAACAAGTCGACCAGTGGACTTGTCACTGGGCGAGAACGAAGGAAACATGGAGGAAACGCAGCTGGTCGTTTCAAAGATGTTATCCTTTGGAAGCCTTTACATATCTTGGGATTATTGAACTGCCCTAAGAATCATTGGACCCTCCTATGGAGGGTTTGGACCCTGCATAGCAGGGGTTTGGACCCTCAACACCTTCACCTTTGAGGGTCCTTGATTCTTAGGGTGACTCAGATGGATGATTTCGTTCGTGAGTTGAAAGCACCAACTGGTTTAATTCATACTAGCATGCTATAGAGCTAGTGGGCTCCACTTGCTTCTTGTGCATCTTGTGAAGAGAGAAGATGGGCACCACGCGCCTTTGATTTTGAGTACACATTCCGAACTTTGTTGTGTTCTTTTTTAACATGCCACTTCAAACGATCCAATCGATGTGATTTGATGTGTCGTTGTCCAAGAAGCTTGGTGTTCCAGATGGAATTGCCGCAGGGATCGCGCTTATAAAGATAAGAGGGTTTTTATACATCAACAGCGACAGCGATGGCAACTTCTGGCAACCAACCTAATAGCGATGGTCTCCAACCTACTAGCGATGGCCTCCATCATTCTCCATCCTAAGCATTCGGACTCAGCAAGGTTGGTGTGAAAAAGAATGCCGACAACGACCTGGAGACCATGCGGACGGCCGGCTCATGTCCACCAAGTTGGGCAGGACTCGCTGGATTTTCTCAACCCAGCTAGGTTGGAGGCCATGGCTCTTAGAAGCTAGAAGCAATGGCCTCCAACCTAAGAGTGATGATGGCCTCCAACCAGTATATATATATATATACCCTAGAGTCTCAGTTCGTACCTAGCCAAATGGGTACAAGTACCTGTTTTGATAGGGCCATGTCCTATTTTCTGAGGTACTTTCGAGGGTGCAGGTATATTCCATGCAGGTATATGCAAAGGTAACAGTTAAAAGGGTGCTTGACTCCCTCAACTTAGTTTGAGGAATCAAGATCCAAGGTTTCTACTGTCGGAGTTTGTTCAGTTCATTAGACTTGGTATATACATGAGGTTTTTGCATTTGCGATTGTGCAATTAACCGATAGTTCAAGATACTTGCGATGGCCTCCGGCTTGCTCTTTGTTGTGGACGGTGGACGTCATTGTTTTGGTGAAACGATTGACCTTGGAAACTGTCAGTCGAGGCTTTTCACCCAAGACAGGGAGCGAAGGAGCAATGAGTGGTGTGGGAGAGCGTGTGATTTGGGGGAGAGCAAGCAAACTCGCATCTGGATGTGTATGAACATACGACCTGAAAACCAATGGCTCGGGCCTTCTGGCGAGATCTCCTTGATTCAATACAAGCACACTGGACTTTTGGTTGAATCGCGCTGCCCGTCCAGACGGGAGGGGTTGGTCTCAACAGGTCATTCATTCTTGATTGACAGACTAACACCCTTGACTGGACTACAAGGTCTATAGGTCCATTGCAGGATGGTGAAATTGGCCGGAAGCCATAGACCGCATGGTTCGGTATTTGCGCCATGAACATCAGGACGCATGGGTCGTATGTGGTATGTCATGTGGTCGTGGGGTCGTGCAGTGAGTCGTCAGATCGCCAGGCTGCCGCGTTCAACTTCCTTTCTTCATTGGTCGCCTTCATACTCTTCACTGTCGCCCGATACTTCTTCCCCGCGGTCTACTGCAAGAAAGAGCTCACGGACACACAGGCGCCGTTCGCGCCGCGAGCGCGCCAGGCTGCGCGCCGTGGATTCCCCGTGTCGCACCGTTCCACTTTGCTTGTTGGCCTTGACTCGGTCCGTTTGGACGAGTGGACCTTGGTCCAGACTGAAGTTGCCGATCGATGGCAGAGTTGGTCACGCCCCGAATCCTCAAAGGTTTTATGAAGGGCCGGGCGATGACAGAGGTCCATTGGATGATATCATATGACTACTGTGGGAACATCTCACATGTTTGCATCGAATGCTTGCTGGAGTCTGGGATCTGAGTTCCAACACCAACTGGACCATGGCCCAATATCGGAGTCGACCCCTCGATACTTCACCAAGCTCCCGCACCTAAGCTCATGAGGCGCATCACCCGGCATCCATTTGGCATCAAGTGCTCGAGAAGCCCTTCGGCCGCTTGTCTCTCTCACTGACCTGTTTGGGGCGGTGTTCTTCGTTTTTTGCGGAACCGCAACGGCTTCAATCTGTCATCCTGGGTGTTGCTTGGATCTGGTGATGGCCATGATTTGCCCTCATCCACTGTTCATCCAGGTTCCTCGGAGCAAAGATCCAAGTAATGTGTTTGGAAAGTGATGAATTTCTGCAATGAATTCTTCTACCTGACACTTGAAATGGTTTTCTCCATTTCACCCATTTCGGGTTCACCTGTTTGCTCAAAGTAGTGATCCATCTGCAACGTCCGATCGATGAAGAAGGCCCATGTGCGACGCATGGAAGGACAAGGACATACTCCCGGGAAGATTAACATGGAACCTGAAAATGGACCTTTGGAAGACTATTTTCCTCTACAACTACAACCCAGTTGTTTTCAGGTGCTATGGTGGGTCTCTTCCAGGGTGTACATCGAACTGGCGATTTGATGGGGGGTGTTTGAAACCCCAGCGCCTCCCTACATAGGGCCCCTCGGGGATCCACGGATCTACCCGGCGCGTCGCTGCTCGCGGTACGCGCGCCGGTGACACATCGAGCCGAAGCGATAGGAGGGTGGCCATGGATCCAGGGCCCGGGGTGGTGAATGGACACCCCGAAGCTCGCGCCTCGCCTTGGGGGGCCATGGATGGCATACCCCACAAGACAGGGAGGGTCCTCCCTGGTAGGGATGCTTCACCCCAGGATGTTCTCAGCTTTGCAGCTCACGGCACGTCAGTACGACACCCACGAGGCATCGGGCTCCTGGATTGGGCGTTTGCGGTGAACCGCTTTCAGGCGACCGAGTGTTGGTGTTCTTCGGGGTGGAATGGCGAAGGCGAAGGGGGAGCGGTGATAGCCTAACAAAAGATGGTTTCCTATATGGTTTCCGTGAAGAAGCCCCTGAGCCCCTGTTTAATGGAAAGCATCGTTTGCTCTCAGGGGCCCAGACATGGCAATCTTCCATGATCGTTGGAAGGTAGCGGCTGTGCAGTTGATGTGACTCAAGTCGGCCCTCAGATTTGGCCTCATGCTGACTGTGCCACAGGCGTTCCAGTGACTTTCGTATGGTTTGTTGAAGACTTATAAGTCGTGAAGCAGATGATATCAGCTTTCGTGAGTGAGCCGCGAACAAGTGAGAATCCGTGCCAACTGACCACACCAACGCTACTCGGGTGGAGGCCATCGCTTAGGTTGGAGGCCATCACTCTTAGGTCAAGCCTTTTTTTGTTTTGTCCAGTGAGAGCCCTGTCTAGGCTTGCCAGATTTGTTCCACCCAGACGCTCCCAACAGCCCCTGGTCCCTCAAAACCTAGAGATTTGAGACCCTAGACCTCTCGAGACCCTAGACCTCTCCATTAATAATATGTACATGAGGGTCCAGGAGCTTTTGGGCAGTGATTTGAAAGTGCTTTGGTAGGGTTTGTGGTCCAACATGTTTGGTTTGCATGTTCATGCTCATCCCTCAGTCTTGGTACATTGTGTTGCAGTCCCTTTCCAGATCAGAATTAGTTTACATGTTTGACACTAAATGCTCGACACATCATTCAACCGAACTTGGCCTTGTGCGCCTGCGACCCATGCTAGGATGAAGAGGTGCTGAAGCACGCAAGCTTGGACGCTTTGATGTTCCTGGAGTTCCTGTCCCTCGGAAGGTGCGCCTGCGACCCCCGAACCGAACCCGGTCCGCGCCTGGCCACACCGTGAACGTCGGTTGGAAGGCCACGGCCGAAGCAAAAACTCGACTCGGCCAGTCGAAAACGTGGAGGTTGCGACCTCAAAGCCTGGAAGGTCTGGAAGGCTCAAGGATCATTTTCCTCCCCAAGCGAAGTCCTGGGGGACTCACTCTATAGGATCGACAGTCCCAGGGCCGTCGGGATCCACGAAGAACATCACGGAGCTGTTAGAGATGGAAAGGGCTGCAAGATGCTGCAACTCTACCCCAAACGCAACCAGTCTGGGACTGCCAGTCCGGACTGCCTTCAAAACGGTCGTTTGGGTGGTTTGAGGGGCCGGTGTAGGCATATATGGCAGTCCCATGGAGTGTTATGGGTACTGCAGAATGGGATAGAATAGACCGCAGGCTCGACCGAAGCCGCAACGGCAGAAACGGAGGTCGTCTCGGCCCGACCGACGCTGGAGCCGAACGATAGACCCAGGTGACCGGGTTTAGGGTTGTGGACATGAGTGGACGAAAGGTTTCGGGATCCTTGCTCTTAGGTTGGAGGTTGGAGGCCATCGCTACTAGTATAGGTGGAGGCCATCGCTACTAGTATAGGTTGGAGGCCATCGAAGTGTTTGCTCGGGCTTCGCTGTGACTCGCGGGTTTCATGGTTTTGGAGCGTGCAGTGCGACCGTTGTCACTTCTGATCGTTGCGGCGTGAATCACGAAGCTTCGACTTGAATTGAAGCATATAGAAACCATGATAAAGTCCGAAGAAAGACATACTGGTAGTATACCAAGGGTCACAAAGTGGATAATGGGCACCCCTAACCTCCATGGATAGCACACCTTTGAAACTCCTGGTCGAGGATCATTCGTGCAAAAATTCTATGCAAAAACACGTCAAACCCTTTCGATGAACCCCATCGCAGCACAAGAAATCGTGACGCGAAACGAACACAGACATCGCCGCCACTCGTGCACCACCAAGGCAGCTGGCTTTGGTTTGGTCCATCGTGACCAAAGGGGGGAGAGACGAGTCTGATAGCGTGAGGGATGGAAGTTGGAAGTTGGATGGCACTCCCTATAGCAGAAGTCGGAGTGTCATTGGCCCAGATACTCCATTTGTTCATTGAACAAATAGTAATGCCTACATTGACCCCTCAAGGTAGGCCAAGATATGGCAGTGCCATGGAGTGTTGGGGATTTGCCCAGACGAGCTCAGATACATGGTATGTTCTGCCCAGACCGCCTCCTGTGGAGCTTGATTGTTTGGGATTCAGATGAAATCAAGGGAGGTTGGAGTCCTAGGGCCTACATAGACGGCCTGCGATTGCCTTGCATCAAGCAGCCATCGACCACACATCCTGCCTCTTTTCGCCACATAGCGCCTTCATCGAACAGAACAGGCTCCGTCCATCGTCCACCATCGTCCATCATCATGGAGACGTCAAGCAGGTACTGGTTGGGCTTCTTTGTCCCCTGCACGTCTTCCTGCACTCTGTGAGCCTGACTGATTTGAACCAACTGCTGAGTATGTCGGGGGTCCCAGCACCTTTGAGTTTTTGAATTGCAATGGGGCATTTCCAAGCGATGGCAGTTCTTTGGTATAAGCCGTCCAGGCCTTTGATTGCAGTCGCATGCAACAGAGCGTTCCAAGACCATGAAAAGAGTTCGCTTGACCTGGTGTTACTGTTGTAGTCAAAAAATCTCGTAAAGCCATGTTTGATGTTGTTTGGGATTCAATCCATCAAATCAATGGGCTCTCAATCGGGTCCCCAAAACCCACAACTTGCCGTGGTTTCGTGACGGTTTGGGCGAATCACATATCCGCTGAGGATGTTCATTCACTCCTCTCGAACGGCTCAAACCCCAAATAGTTCGACGGTTAAAAGAATGGGAAAGAGCTGGTTTTTTGTAATCTAAGATCCTTAGTAAAACAATGATTCTTTGGGATTAAGACCAGTAAAACGTTTTGGGACTCCCAGCCCAGTGGGTGGCATTTTTGTTGCCAGATTGGCCCGGATTGGTTCAGTTGCTATGATGTGAGAAACTTCGGGGGCTTGGCGTGCGTAACAACTCGGACTGACCATCCTCATTCCCAAGCGGTTGAAACGAGTCGCTTTCCACGTGGAAAGCCGCGCATGGAGAAACTCCCTCCTCGTCGACCCACGGCGGGTCCCATGGACGACCGGTGCATCCGACTCGGTGCGAAGGACGAGGTAACGAACGGCGGACGGGTAACGACGAGTAACGAGGGATGTATGGCGGCGATAAGTGTTCATTCATGTGAAGCAACGAGCTTGGCCGGAAATCCATGTATCCAGACGCTCCGGTGGATTCGTCCGGTCGTTCGGACTATGAGGCCTGGAAATATGTCCCTCGTTCTCGACTCAAAGGGCACGTGGATGTCGCCACCGTGTTCAGTACGTGTTTCCCAGGTGTTCGTACGTGGATCACCTGCATGTCACGTTCTCGTCGACCGGATTGGGGCATTTGGAGACACTCCACCAAACGAGAACCGCGAATCGGTTCGGTCAACTTCTTTTGCCGAACGGCCTCTGCTTCAAGCATCAGCCCGAATCGAGGCCGTTGAAGGCCTCACCAAAACATCCAAAAGCTTATTCCGTCAGTGACCTTATTGGAGTCTCCAAGTGGCCTGTAAAACAGGCCTGCAATGTGACCTCAGCCACTAGGATCTTATATAAGTCTGGTCACTGACTGAAGGTCCTGGCAGTTTTGCGTGTTTTTTGCTATTTCAGCTCGGTGAGGACCAGTTTCAATGGCCTCATCTTGGCCCACTTGCCCGCGAACGAGCAGCTGATCCTCGTTTGGGCTCACGTCTTTGCGGCGAGACGGGGGACATGGAGGACTTGAGACGGGACACCGGTCGAACGCATAAGGGGGGTCCCTTTTTGAGAGCGTCTCTTGAGTACAGGATGACTGGGTCAGTCGTTTTGTAATCTTTTATATTCCTTTACCGAACCACCATTGTTTTACTAAGGGTTTTACACTACAATTCCAGATCCCCTGGGAGTCAAAGACTATAAAAAGATTAGTCTTTAGGTGACACGAAGAGGAATGTCCTTTACTTCAGTCAGTCAAAATATAGTCTTTGGACTTCTAGGGGATCAACCATTTTTGAAATGGTCTTTGACTTCCAGGGTTTATATACAGCATTTAAAAACAACAACAATCAGCCATATGCCTGGAGCCGACTTCAAGTACCTTTAAAAAATGGGACGTGACTCCGTCAAAACAGGTACTTGTACCATTTTCGCAAGTACTTTGAGACTCTATGTACCCTAGCCTTCAGCCCGGCAACCTAACCATGTCCAATATCCATCATCATCCACCGGTACTCGTTTCATCTGCTTCGAGAACGCGCAGGTTTGGTTTGTCGTGGCCAGCGCGTCACGGCTCATCTACACGGCCCAACTCCGCTTTTTGGAACAGCGCAGCTTGGTTGAAACGGGTGCTGGGTGATGCCTCCCTCGAGGCCATCCACGCACCTTTCGTTCCCAGGACGGAAGGTACGTGGCTTGGGGGGGGGGATTGGACTAGCCTCCACCGCCACCCCACTCAAGTCCAACCGGTGGAAGAAGGCGAAACTTCCCTATAGCCTTCCAAAGCGAACACAGAGCGAATGGACCTCAAATCCTTTGGGTTAGGTGGTTCTGGTGGTTGGAAGTCGGGACACTCAAAGAATCCAAGTGCACCGATGGCACTCCTGCTCTGCCCCGTGCGGGAACCATCCCAGCTCCAGCGGTTCGGTGTGCCAAGCGCGGAAGGACGAACCCTATGGATCCACATACCGAACCAGGTCGGTACGGTGAGGACGGAGACACTCTTATGTAGGCGCCAGGAAGGTCCAATGACCTGAGAAGGTGGCAGTGGATCCATAGGGAGGGCTGATTTTTGCAGCCCTGTCCGTGAAAAAAAGACGGCGAGAACACCTGGAGTGATGAACCGGTCCAGGCTGTTGAGTCACCTGGCTGTTGAGTCTCTATCATCCGATGTCGAATTTGGGGAGTTCGATCATGAAAAAAACCCGGAGGACGACCAACTGCAAGGAGTTCAGACGGGTTGCACTGTTCATTGAGAAACTCCAACTCCAAAAGCTTCGAGCGGATTGTGACTTATACTGGGTCCGGTCATACAAAAGCAGTATGAACATGAGGTCACAAGACTTGGTCTAACCGGACCGGCAGGGTTCGAGGGAGGGTTCGACCTGAGTGTCGACCTGAGCGTTGACGGGTGGTTCACTTATCTCGCCTACTAGTGGCTTCTTGTGCCTTGTAGCGATGGCCTCCAACCTACTTGCGACGGCCTCCACCGTGCGCAGCGTCCAGTAGCTGCCACGTACGTAGCTGCCAAGGCTTCATTTGGCTGAAGCGTATTCCGGCTCCTCGAGCGACCACTCTGTTGGCACCTTCCTCAGATCGGGTCGATCGTGAGGGGGGAGGATCGACCGATCGACCTTCGCACCTTCGGTTCAACCGTGGGCGGCGGCGGTTTCCGTGTGGCGGCGTCTTCACGGAACGCTTCGCGATTGGAAAGGGAAGTCCAACGGATCCGATCCTCGAAACGGCGAGTAGTAAGGCCAGGAGCCCCGTAGCGCTAGGCGCGTCCGATCAGCGGAGGGGTTCGAGAAGCGGATGCCCTGCTACCTATCCTGCAGAGCTCGGACTCCAAAGTTCCGAAGAACGTGACCTGAACCCCCAAGCAGCTACAACTCCCAGACACTCCATGGGTGGCATATTTACCTACATTGGGGTGGTTTTAGGGGTCAATGTAGGCATATATGGCATACATGGAGTGTTTGGGACTGGGACCTCCCTTTCCACTGAGCAACGACTCGACTCCAGATTGAGGGGTTCCTTCCCCGGTATGCCCATGAAACACTTCGAAGCTTAAAGTCCCTATAGACCCCTTTAAACCATATATAGTTGATCTGGTTTTAACGTCCGACATCCGTAAATCAATATGCTTGGGATTCAGACCATTCATTGGCCAGGAATCTTAGATATAGGTGATCTTGCAGTGAGAGGAGGTTAACGAGGCAGGGCACCCCGACGGCACCCTCCAAGTTTGGCACCACGACATGAAACTGCTGGTATAAAGGCTTAATATCCCGGCCCTAGGGCTCCTGGCCCACCTCCGTTTCGAAGATGGTTGGGGTGGGTGGTCTTGGGGGTCTAACCACCTGACCTTCTGAGGATATGGGCCAGGAGCCCTAGGGTATAAATATCCAGAACCCGACTCGTTCGGGGTGTCTATGTAAATAGCCCCTTATATAGCTGTGCTTCGGGGTGTCCCTTCACCACCCCTCGCTCCTTTCTTCGCTCCTTTCTGAAGGCCTCCAACCCCGACAATGAGCGGATGTCTGGGGACGTCCCAACCCGGCGCCCTGAGGTGGAGCATTTGCCCCCCGAGTGCCGTTCCGACTTGGCGCTGCGCTTCTACTTCGTCCGGCTCTTTGGGCCAGAGGCCATCGTCCAGGCCGGAGCCTTCCGGACGAGCGGGTCCGCGGTGGAGCGGACGAGCGGGAGCGGTCGCGGAGCTTGAGGTTCCGGACACCTCAACAGGAAGGTCCAGGTTGGTGCGTGTTTTCTGTCTCTGTGAGCGGACAATGAAAACAACATAGTAAAACAGACACCACTGGTTTTTTGGGGGTGCCAGGTGGTCACCGAAACGTGGGGATGGCCGTGGATGTCAACGACCTTCGGGCACCCGCCTCGGGTACCGCAGCCGTTCCGAAACTGCTGGGAATAGGAGATGTGATGTCTAAAGTTGGTGACTCAGGGAAATGGAATGAAAAGAATCTGGAATGGATGGAAGTGTTCTTGGGGGAGATGTCTTGGCATGTCTTATTTGAGGGGAGATGAGGATGTCCATTATACCCAGGCGCCAAGAGACGAAGACCAGAGTTTGGTTGACCTGTAGTGTAAGATCCTTAGTAAAAGATTTGTTGTTTGGGATTCAATACATTAATTAAGTTAGTGGTGGTTGGAATCCTAGGGTATATCATACTTTTCTGTATGTAAACTTAATATGCGCAGGAGCTGCCATCACATGTTCTTTTGTTCAATGCACGCAGAAAGTACGGCAGGCACACCAGTTTTCCATCTGGTGGCAGGTAGCGCGAGATGAGATCCGGACATCATGGGCACTGGATGCTCTTCTTGCATCCACCAAGCCCAGGGTCCAAGACATCCACTTCTCCAACCAAATCGAGCATCTGGATCATCTGGATGTCCGAAGCATTCTGGCGTTTTCGTGGGCTTGATCCCGCAGTCGCACCAAACCAATCGACAACTCGTCGGTTCTTGACCGAGATGTGCGGTTTTGGACTCGTCCTGCAGGCTTACGTCGTGCGGCGCACAGACCGCTTGCGTCTCTGAGCGGCGATGGGAGCGCATGGTTTTGGGCATGTTTTGCAATGAATTGGATAAGGCCAGGCGGCGAAAGCTAGGCTGAAAAGACTCCCTGGCTTCAGCGTCTTTTACTTAGTTGTGACGAGTGTGCTTGGGGGATGTTTGCTGCTGTATAGCGGTCTTGTTGACCGCCCATGGGCGCTTCCGGTCGGGGTGCCCTGTCTGGAGACACATACGTAGTGTGAGGTTGTCCATCGGTGACCCCGAACAGAAGCAGCTGGTATGGTGTAGTCCGTGTATTGTTTATGATTGTTATTTGGAAGTTAGTTATTGTTGCTTCAGCATCGTTCTGATCGAGATTCCTTGGAACCAGCTTCCAGCGCGGTCAGCCAATCTGGAGCTGCACGGTTTCGCAATGCATCTGACACTCTCTGCAGCAGAGGTGTGGGGTGTCAGATGCTCCATCCCAAGCGTTTGAAGTGGTTCTCGAGAGGCTACAGGAGGCCATCATGACAGTTTTCAATCATGGCCAGTCTAGAACTTCAGGGAAAGTCTCATGCTTGCATATGCTTGCTGGTGATCAACATTGATGTCACAGTGATTTCACTTGTCACTGATCGTCGCTGCCAAAACGGAGTAAAAGCACCCCTGAAACTGGCCCAAACGGATGCAAGACCTTGCTCGGTCGCCGAGGCAAGCTCTTTCAGGAGCACGAACATTGCAGCTCCCAGCTGCACCTGGAACAGGCCAGGATTTGATGAAATCGGTCTTGGTCGGCCCCTCCTGTAACCCAGACTCCGGCCGCCAGACTCCGGCAGGTCGCGCTGGGAGACTCCGGCACAAGCACATCGCGCCGTACATGCCCATGCATCAGTACCGTGGACAAGGCGAGCGCGGGCGCCGTGGCGCCCACGGTTTCAGAAACGACCGAGATGTCAAACCGTTAACGGTGGTGTGGAAGAAACCGGCAAGACGTCTATCCCAGACACTCCATGGGTGGCATATTTACCTACATTGGGGTGGTTTTAGGGGTCAATGTAGGCATATATACATACATGGAGTGTTTGGGTATGAGAGATGTTTGGAGGCGGCGGTTTTGCACGAGGATTGCGAGGTGACCAGCAGGAGTTCTTGACTTTGAGAGCATGATGTGTTGGAAACATAGCACTGAAACTAGTCTCGTCATGTAGTCAAGGAAGATTACATGTGCATATGTGCCGCACTTTTGAACCCAGCAGAAGTGATGTAGAAGACCTTGTTTGGATATGTTCGGATTAAACTTATTCGCTGCGGCCCAGCAAAATTGCAAACCCTCAAGTCTGCCTCGAACTCGGGGTGTTTGCCGTTTCTAGCAGCCAGTCAAAGATTCTGACCATCTCGCTTAACTGGTATACATTCGAAGTGACCATCACTTTAAACTAAGATGCAAACCGGACAACATCCACTGGTCTTAGTCATGCATGGGCATGGGAAAAGAACAACACATGGCTCCTCTTCGCATCAAACATCGCCCCTGGCGGCTCCGCTCGATTCGTCACCTCAATTCTCCGCCTCGGACACCTGCGAGTTCGATCGCAGGAGCAGTTGAGGAGCGACCTTGAACGTCTCAAGGTGGGCGTGACGCGTGTGCTGTTCATGGTTCTTCGGGTGATGCTTGATTCTTTCCGAACTGGCTGCGTCCCTGAAGCTGGTTTCTTGCCTGTTAATGTCCTCGTTATGCCACTGTTGGGCTGATGATGCAAATTGGCACCTTTCTTTCGGCTGATATGTTTTCCCGAACTGGTTCAATCCCGATTCACCGTAAGAACACATGTAATCCCGATTCCTGGTGCCTGGACGGCAAATCGAAGTCGCTGAAGAGACCAGTGAACTTCTCTGGGATGGTATACCCAGAAAGCACGCGGATCATTTGCAATCCCCCCAAAACCAGTCAAAGCAAACAGGTGGAACATTGAAGATTTGGTTATATAACCTGCATTTTCCTTCGGCTCTGGGATGCTGTACAAAACAGATCAAAACAGATGACAGTAATGTAGACTCTTGATTAATCAACCCCCCCCAGCCCCCCCCCTCAACAACCAGGGCCTCCAATATAATCTACTAGAAAACTAATCAAAGGACCAAAATGAAAAGAATCCTTATTAAAATCTTCTTGGCCTTCTCTGGCAATATTAAATTAAAAGGGAATCAATGAAATCTCAAATTTGGAATACTAAAGTAAAGGGAAATCAATAAAGTGGAAATGGAATTCTCAATATTTTAATGGAAATCTAAATCCAAAGACCTTCAAAAGCATCCAATCTCAATGGAAATCTTCAACTGTTTAATAGAAATCTCCATCCAAAAGCCTCCAAAAGCATCAAATCTGAATGGAAATCTCCAAAATTTGAATAGATATCTCCATCCAAAGGCCTGTAAGATAAGCAAATCCCAGCAAACTCAAAAGGGAAAAAGTAAACTATAACAATAAAAAATATTCCACTACAACTATCCCTGCCAAAAAAAAAGACATTATTCTGGGGGCCTTTATTAATCTGTGCAGGAAAAAAAGACATTATTCTAGGGGGCTTTATTAATCACAGGTCTACATTAGAATGTGCAAACATTTGTGATGTTCAACTTTTACTGGCTGTCATAGATATCAAATCACTGGTGGTGTGATCCTTTGGTTCACTAAATCAATTGGGTGCAGCGGAGCTGCTCATGAAACCCAGACCGGTAGACACCAGCTATTCAGAGCCACTCCCAGTTGATCAAGCTCTACCTCCCAACAACGCATTCACCAAGGAAGTCTTGGTATAGATTAAACATCACAAAAGAAACATATATTCACCAGCACCTTCAGTTCGGGGTCACCTGGCTGGAAGCCCCAGCCCACTACGTACAGGGACCAGCCAGGACACCCTTTGAAGGTCGGACATGGTGTCATCGAAGGTCCACGGCGCCGCTGGACGGACGGAGACCTCAACGTCAACGTTCAGAATTTTGGGTCGATATCGGTTGGTTTTCTGTGGCTGGCTTTTGGGCCAAACGTCCCAAGAGCTCCACAAGAGAGTCAGGTGAGCGACCGCCCCAAGCATGCAATGGCTAATTAAATTTAGTAGAGAGCAGTCGTGGCTTTTAGGAATTGGGCTAAAACCTCCAAAAGCGATCGGCCTCCTCAAAAGCGCGGTTTTGGGATATGTTCAGCTGACATTGTGGCTAAACCTGCAAAAGCAATACGCCCTCCTCGAAAGCGAAACCTTGCAGAATCATGTCTTCTACTTCTTCCTACGTACGTTTCAAAACGACGCTCAGGTGGAGATCTCCAAGGAGCAGCGGCGTGTGGAAGAAGCAGTGTCCTGGCTAGAGCATCTATACTTTTGGGCGGAAGGCTCAAGAGGCCGCCCCCGGATTCGTTTCGTTTCGGTGCTTTGGGGTGGACATCCGGGTCGTGGCCGCCCCCTGCTTAGTGGGGGCACCGAGGGGTGCGATGGCACCGGGGGGCCCTAATTAGGCAGGTCACCGATGGGTCATGGGACCCATCGCATTCACACCGTCACCGTACAAACAAAACGGCGGACTGGACGCGCCAAAGCCTTAATTGATCAACCCCCGATGGGCTCCGAAGGTGGGACTGGACCCGAACATGACATGGCACTCACCCCAATCCCACTTTCTCAGGTACGACTGGAGCTCAAACGGGTCATTGGTTTGTTCAAATCCGTCCTGTCAAGTCCTGTGACCGAAATGGTTCGGTATGACCGAACCTTGAACTTCGATGGGACCCTTAAATCAAAGTGAGTCGACCTGTTCGTTCCCTTCCAGAATGGAAAATGATGGACCATGATGTACAGTCGTACTGTCGTACTGTACTTGCTTTTGGGGTCGGTCATGTCCCATCTTCCAGGGCTGTTTTACGGTCCAGGTGTCGGCCGGTCCAGGTGTGGATCCATGGGGCATGCTCAGACTTGTTGTTCATTCATTGTCCCTAAGGGTCCAGGAGCATCCGTTGCTCGGATGTCCTTTGGCCCCAGTTCGACCATTCTCAGGAAGTACTTTCACCTCCAAGACCATCCTCAGGATGGTCCTGGACCCTTAGGGTGTGTTGTAAAGATCTTATATTATAAAGATCTTTTGTCCGCATCCTTTGCAGTCCTCTCATCCCGAGTTGTTCTCTGAAAAACACTATACCTGAGTGATCGCGGCATGGTCTGATGATGGGAGTGATTGGGAGCATGCTTGGACTGCGGGGTACGGGTCAGTGAGCGACCTGATGAAATGCAGGAGTTGATCATACACAAACACTACGAACATCACGTTTCAGGACCAGGAGTCCAAGCCTGGGTATGACCAAGGACGTGTAGGGCTGGATGACAGTCATACATACGTACGAGGTTGTCATGCCTAGCAGGAGTTTGAAAGGGCTTAATGGTGACCAGGACATCCACCCAGGGACTGAACACCATCCCTTTGTGGCCCCTGCGACTCCTTTTGGATCACCCGAAAACACGATCGATCTCGGTCCAAACCAGAATGCACCTGTTTTCATTTTCCTCACCTTGGATCACCTTCATGGGTCAGAAGATAAGCGAAGACTTGAATGAATGAACTCCTACAAGTCGCTTGGACCTCATCTCTTAGGAGATGGTCATATATATAACCCCCACCCTGGAGTCGAGCCGGAACTCGTAGACCGAGCCGTTCCATGGGTACAAGATGGTACAAGATGGTACAGTCGTACCTGCTTTTGATAGAGTCATGGTCCCATTTTCTAAGCCCCAATTGGAAGCTTCTTGTTACTAGTAAGGCACTGGTTACGAACGAAGCGATGCACTTGTTCCTAATAGCGAACCTGGTTCCTAGTAGCAAGGTACTGGGTCAGTCGGGTTCCAGATAGGAGTCAGGAGGAGCTCGGGATGCCGAACGAACGGAGGAGCTCGGGCCGATCGAGGTGCCCCGAACATCACATCCACTCACGTCCGGTTTCGGGGACTCAAAACCAACCCGGGCCTTTGTGACTCCTGGTATATACCCTATAGGGCTCCTGGCCCATATCCTCAGAAGGTCAGGTGGTTAGACCCCGAAGACCACCCACCCCAACCATCTTCGAAACGGAGGTGGGCCAGGAGCCCCAGGGATACATGTACTTGATCCGGAGGTCAGACTGGACTTGTAGGAACTCTATGGAACGGCTCGTATACGTTCGATCACCAGTGCCTTCGGCATACGGAAGAAGGCTGGTTCATAGCAGCGATGGCCTACAACCTACCTGGAGTCGACCCGTTCGTACCCCAGAAAATGGGACCCCAGTCGTACCTGATTGTTGTTCGGGTCACGTCCCATTTTGTCAGGTACCGTAAGGAGGGTCTAGGTACTTGCGATGGCCTCCAACCTACTTCATGGATTTGTTCAGGAAGAAAGCATTTCACCGTCAGGTACCAAGGTACCAGGACCCTCCTGTCTGGGTGTCCTGTACACTGCTTAGAGATCTCCATTGGACACTCATTGGATGTTCCAGGTAGTAATTTGTCATAATAATCGCTAGAGCTCCAACTACCTCCGTTTCGAAGATGGGTGCCAGGGGGGTCTAACCACTTTCTGAGGATCTGGGCCAGGAGCCCTGGGGAAATATGGTCTTTTTTGGTGTTTCCCAGACGCTCCGTTCACAGGCCGACTGGTCAAAACCATCGGGCTTGGTTCGGGGACCCCTCCAGAGGATTCGGGTACGGCCCCTGAACGCAGGGTGGGTCGCGTTTGGGTGAATCCATTTCTCCCATCCCCAGACACGACGAATGGGACTGCCAGTCCGGACTGCCGCCCCAGAAAGACCCCCCTGAGGCACCACCCCTGGCCTGATCGGCATATATGGCAGTCCCATGACACCGGTGGATCTACACCCGAAGTCGCACGGGGCGACCGCCCCGACGGCCCCGATGTGGTCCGTTGGCGTGGTCGTTTGTTTGCCGGGCCGGTTCAGGCATCGTCCGGGGTTCAGGCATCGAAGTCCGGATCCACACCCTTAGAAGTTCAGTCTGACCCAGTAAAACCATGTAAAACTTGACCTCGGCATGGGTTTTGTATGACCAGCTCCAGTATTTCATGAGGTCTTTGACTTGTACGGATACGGGGAAGATCAGGAGACTATAGCTAGGCGCCAGTCAGGAGGGCCCAGTCGCACTGAACGGAACAGGAGGGCCCTCTTTTTGGATCCTGAAAAGGGAAGGGCAATGGTCGCCGGTGCCTGAAAGGTTCATCAGATGGACTTGAAGGTTTGCAGCTCTGCAGGCGGGTCCGGGTTGGCAACCCGGGTCTTGGAGGAGTCGATCGACGGTTAGGACGACCGAACGACTTACTACGACAAGACTAAGGGGTGTAAACTATACTTAACTTCGAAAGAGTGGTCCTTTGGTTGGCCAACAGAGGTTGAATGACCCGAACTAGACTATCCCATATATGTACCCCAGTATAGGGTCCTATTTACGGTCACTTCACCTCTCTTGGGGGGGCAAAAATGGCTCTCTTTCGGGTTCATGTCCCTTCGCTTCGAACCGAACCGAGCGAGCGAAGTCGTGTCCGTCTCCGGTGTCGCGCCTGGCGCGAGTCAGGCCGTTCCTTCGTGTCGAGACGTGGATCCCTTTCGTTCGGAGTCACCGGGCGATCGCTTTCGCGTCACCGGCCTCGGACCGTCTCGGTGCGGAATTCATGGGGATTGGCCCCAGGGGACCCTGGGGCCCGGCCGTCCTGTCTCATCGCCCCACGGTGCAGACTCCGGCTCCATGACTCAGCGGCATCGCTCACCGAACGTGTGGACGCTCTCAGAGCATTGGAACGGAGCTCCGGAGCTCCCGATCCAAAATCCGCGTATAGTCGGTTTCTGCTCGGTTGAAGGTACGAAAACGGACGGACCCGACTGACTGGCACCTGCATGATCTGCATGTCTCCAATTCACCACCTGAGGTTCGGTACGAAAACGGAATGTCGTTCGGTCCTCCTCCACGACGTAGCAGCACGGATTGGTGGAACGCGTGTGGAATGCGTCAGAGAACGCAGAGAAGAGAGGCTTCACCCATTCCAACGCGTAGACCTGGCCTTCGGGTAGACCTGGCCTTCGGTCGGACATGGGTCCTGCTGCAGGTGACCTGCAGCAGTCTTTCCCCTGGGCCTGGCACGATCTAGGACGGGTCCCTGGGTTCTTGAAAGCTGCAGGTCGTAGTGGAGACTTCGCTCCCCTCTAAAAAAGATCGGTGCGCACTTCTCTTTGGTGCGGGGGGTTAGCGGCTACAGCCTGTCATCTTTCGCCGCCTTCTTTTGGCGTGTTTTTGGTGCACCCCGCGGGCGCCTGTAGCGATCTCCGGTTCGGGCGTCGGGACCATTTCTGCTGCACCGGAGCTGAAGCTCGAGCATCCTCCGGGTGCCAGGCTTTGTGACCTTCAGCTCCAGAAGGATGTGCTTCTTGGACAGGGAGATCTAGAGAGGTGACAGGGGCGAAACCTGATCTCATAACAGTGTGTCTGTGTAATTAGAGTTATCTAACATAACAAACCCATATATTATCATTATTCAGAACATATAATGCAAACTGTTATTTCTTTCTTCCACATATGCAAGGAATACTATATTATGTATTATATTATAACATCTTGTTTTTTTTTAATTTTATGTTTTAACTTATCAAATATTAAACACGACATAAATAGTATGCAGTATGTCAAGTACGTCACATTAACGACTAACGCCCGCTGGAGCCCATGTTCTTGCTTCTCGTGGTATTTGGTCAGGGGTTCAATCTCTGCAAGACGCTCAGCTGGCAACGAACCCACCACTGAAACGATCCCCCAAGCAGCGGCAAATGCGGTGTTTACTGGGAGGTCTCCCTATTTTAATCCACACCGACACCCTTGTAAGCAAATATGGTCTACCACAAAAACCATGAGTTTCCTCTACCAACACCACCTGGTTCGGGTGTTTGGAAGGAACATTGTTCAAACAAGTTGTCGTTTGTCAGCCACCCTTTTCCAGCCATCGTCCTGTAGATAATCCCTTTCACCAGTTTTACCTCCAAAACCCACGCGTTGTCTCCGCTCAAGGTATGCTAGCGGTGTCTCCGCAGTACCGCGCGGACGCCGCGCAGCTCACGGTCACCATGCCGCCAGATCCAGAGGACGTGATCTACGAGGAGTGGGCATCGAAGAAGGTTCGGCATCCAAAGTAGCCGAAGCACCTGGACCCGACGTCGTTTGGACCTTATCCTAAGAATCATTGGACCCGACCACCGAACTGGAGGGTGACTGGACCCTGGTTCCGACCCGGGGGGCCCGACAGGACCCGAACCAAACCTTCACCGAATGGGTCGGGTCCTTGATTCTTAAGGTAGACCATGGGACCGCTATTATAAAAAATAAAACAATCTTGCATAGAGAGGAACACGGTCTTGATTTCGGGCCGTGACATCCACTTCCGTTGAAGAGGGAGCTCTAAAGTGCCAAACAAAAAGGACACCGACCCCCGTGCACCACTGGTTTCGGGAAGATCGACCTATACTAGGGCCGTCCCAGAAACAAGTGGATGAAACTCCGTGTAAAGGATCTCAAGCGCCACAGGAACCAAGCTCGCCTCAGTGTTTGGAAAGGCTTGGCCTTAATTTTGGGGTTCCTTCTGCTCCAGCACGCTGTTCATCCTAGGTCGGCGTGTTGTTCATGGATTTAGTCTTGGTGACCTCTCCTGATTGACCCCCCTAAAATAGTAAAGTGGAATCCTGGAATTGCACATTTCTGACCCCCCCAAATAGCAAACCTTCTTCCCGGCTGGGTGCTTCATCCGGTACATTGATGTATACCTGGACCCTAAAAGCACCCTGCGTACCGAACATGGGACATGACCTGAACGAAAAGAGATATGATCTACCCAGACCTCATATGCAGGGGTCGGACCCTGATATGGAGGGGTCTGGACCCGAACCAATCCCTATGGTTTGGTTCGGGACCAGTCGGGCTGTGAACGGAGCGTCTGGGTACCGAACATGGGTTTGACTCCAAGGCTCCGAGATCCGTTGGTGATCTTCCCTAGGGATCCAAGTACCTTCTCAGAAGGTACTTGGACCCTCCAAACCTACATAGCGGTGTCGAACACATCACCTGCTGAGAAGGTACGACAGGATCCCTAGGGCTTTGGTGAGACTCCGAGGCTCCATCCATCACTGCCCAACATCCGATAGACCCCGGACCAGGGTCCAGTGACCATTCGTACGTACGAAAACCCCCCCTTCAAGCATCCGAAAAGGAGGTACCTGGACCCTATGGGAAACACCCATTTACTCCCCTGGTCTTGGGTCCTGGTATGAGTTGCAGGAGCAAAAAAAACAAACTTCACAGAGCCAAGTGGCTGGACCCAGCACTGCTCATGTTGTTGAAAGAACACGTCCTTCCCTACAAGTCAAAGACCTCATTTTACTTGAGATGATCATACAAAACCCATACTAAAGGAGGTAAAAGACCAGGTTATACTGGGTCAGACTGGACTTCTAGGGCTTACTCGTAGTATTACTGGGTCCGTCCCTGTCCAACCGCTGCATACCTTCCTTCCTCGCCTTTAGGACCTGGCGAAGGATCCAGAGGCGGGCGCGCCAGGGCGGAAGGCGGAAGACGGTCGCTTTTCCCCAAAGGATCCGTTGAACCGAAGGATCCAGTCGTACGGGGAGTGCCATGAGGGTGCCATGAGACACTGAGACGGTCTGAGACGGTCTGTGCCAGGGTACGACTGGATCGCCATGCGGGGATTGGGCAATTCAGAAGAGAAAACATGTGTCACTGCCTTGTGACTCACTGGCGGCCTACCTGCTGGAAGAACGCTGGACAGTTCTTTCTACCTGGGGGTTAGTTTCCTACAGGTATTCTAGGAGACCCACTGGCCACCTCAAGAAACAGCTGCAGACAAGAAAGATGTTCCAACATGCTGGTCAACTTGGTTGTTCTCATCATCGCATGGTCCTCAGACAATGTTACTTGAGCTGAGGAAATGCGAATTCAATCAACTAAGTTAATTCAACGATGGGTATTATGAGATATTATGAGGACATGTTTCTAAATACCAGGAGAACATCCGACGGAGCAACAGCCATTCCAGGCCCAGACCATCCATGGGACTGGAATAGTTGTAAATTATATACATTTACCCACCCCAATGTAGGTAAACTATTCCAGTCCCATGGTTCTGGATTGATTTGTTCCTGCCCCGGACAATCACTTGTTTTGTGTAGATCCTTCCGAACTCCCATGTAGCTTGCTGGACTTCTCCTCCATACAGTTCGACAGAGCCTGGACCTGAGCTGAGCTGCGACAAAGATCACTGGTCCATTCTGGAGCTCAGCACCACCCAGTTCGGGTGGTTCAGAGACACCCCTGAAGAGGTATTGTCCAGCTAATAACCACCCGAACTGGGTGGTGCTGGAAAAAATCCACTAGGATTGAGGTATGAAATACTATCTAAATGCTTGTACCGCCAATGTCATCCATTTGACGTGAGTGGGACTTCCGGAATCTTCCTTTGGCTTTGGGCGTCGCCCACGCCAGATGCAAGCTGGTGGCACTGTCACAGCTGGAGTGCTTTTGCTTCTGATTTTCATCATCTGGGCGCCGATGAATCTTGGCAAAAGAGAAAAACACCTGCTTGTTTACTGATGTCTATATAACAAAGGCCTCCAACCTAAGAGCAAAGGCCTCCAACCTAAGAGCAAAGGCCT